GAAAGGATGGACTCAACACGACATTTTACACTGGAAAAAGTCGATTCCATTCACGACTTGGAAGGAAAAACAACAGAACTAGAAGTATGCTACTCCAAAGCCAGAGTGCCGAGGCAAGCTAATTGGTTTAATGAGCTGACCAGTTTTCTTCGCATACAAGTAAAGAGCGCAGGCAAATAAACTGATCCGGTTTTGACAAGAAATATAGCCCTAAGGTACAGCCCCAGGTTCACTAAATTATGCTCGTGTATACACATTGATGTTCCTGGAGATTACAAAAAACAATCAAAACCCTAACAAATGTGAAAAATCATGATAGTATAATACATGCCAAATCGAAAGAAACTCCAGAAAAAGCTTTCTCCGCCATATCAAGGTTGAACCAAAGAAGTGTTCTAACGCAGTTGGCGGGGGCGAGAGGATCAACTGTCTACGCCTGTCCCATTCCACCAGTCAGAGCTTGATGGAGATTACGTTCTCTCTACGAACTTCTCTAAGCCTAACTATTGGTCTTGGAGTCATAATCCTTGAGAGGCACAGACGAGTTCCCAGTTCCCTTATAAATACGTCAGCGCCAGAGAAACTGATGACTGCTGGGCTTGATTAATAGAGGTTGGCTAACGCAAATCTTATGTTTCAACTTGAGACCAGTCCTCGAGCTTCCATGGAATTGACTCTACTCATGGTCAGCAGTCATCTCCAAACCCATTCCACACAGCAAAAAGAGGAGCGTCAACGTATGGCCCTAAGCTTGGAATTCAAAGGCATACCCTGCTTAATGGTGATTTGTGACGCGACCGAAATAGCCTATATAGAACCCCTTCGCGCTTGTACGTGAATAAGGCGGCGAACGGACGGTCAGAAGTGTTCTCATTTGTTAGTGGCAACTCTTTCTCCTTATCATCTCGCTCTCACAATTTGAAATGGAGAGAGCTAGCAGCGGAGACAACTGCACGATCAGGTAGCAGTTAAGAAGAAAAGTGCGGCATCGCCGTGACCAGTGGGCGGTGCCCTGGTTCCTTCGCGAGCACGTGGCGCTTTCCTTACGTACTTCTGAGCTGTGCAAGCAGTACCTATTCCATTCTTGCAGGCAGTACTACCACTTCTTAGGAAGGCTCCTGAACATCCGATGAACGCGGTGATGCCTTTAAGCACAATGCCCTTCCCCCCTAATCACCAATACCTCGTCCCTCAACATCACTGCTCGGAACTAGCAGTAGAGACCTCTTTACGTATTTAGGAAAGACCCAAATACAAACTCAGCCATCAACGCCGAACCGCGTTTACACTTCGCGTGTTGCCATTGGAGAACAAAACACAGACGTCTTCTCTTATTCTCTTAAAACCACCGCAAGCTGAGAGGAGTAGTACGATCGATTCTTACTGGAACTTCTGGTCCTCTATACTGCTATCCTACTTCTCGATTGGAGGTATGATAAGCCCGAAGCATAATAAAGAAAGAGCCAGCAATTTGAAGAACTGCCAAGGAGCTACAGCTACCACGCCAAAGCAACTCCATCGCTGGACGTGGAAGACAATGCGCGAAGAACCTCCGAAAATGAGTAAACGGACCGAAAGAGCCGCCACTCCACAAAGGCAAAACATCGTCATACAACGTGACGCATAAAGCGCGACATTCCTTTCCATACCGGAAACGGTACCACGTGCAGTCAAACAACGTAAAAAGACTTTTGTTCCAGCTCGGCAATAAAGTGGTGTCATTCTCTTTCTACCGGCTGACTTCTAGAATCATGCGTCTTCTCGGGCCTCCGAAAACAATAGGAAGAAAGTGGATGATTGAATCCAGAGAGTGAAGATTCGAACGAGAAGAGAGCGAAGAGGCCGACAGCAGGGCGTCCAAAAATGTCAGCTCTAACACGGACCAAACTACCAATTGTGCACGCAAGAATGGCACAGAAAGACTACAAAACATGAATACTACGTAACATCAAGGCTCAGAATGCGTGCTTACTCCGCCATCTACTCGAGCGACCAGAGCGATTTAGTGTGGAACCATGGACGCGCTCTTAGCCACATCCACGAACAGGTCCATGGCGGTGAAGGTTCACTATCACCTGATGAAATCCTGGCTTCACCGTCTTCCTATGCTCTTAAAAAGCCGATCCAGGTTTAACCCCCGGACCCCAATTTTCTTTTCGTTCCACATATGACCGATTATTAGCAATAGCCCACAACTTTAGAAACGGTCGATCTTCAGCTCAACAAGGACCTTTATAAGATTCCCAGAGATTCTAAGCTTAGAACATCAGAAGCATACTCAAAACACTGTCTTCTTCCTATAACAAGCTTATTCCGCCTTGACCATCAGTTCGTTTTCTTTTTGAATTTTACGGAAGTTTTTTTTCTGTAGTTTTCGCTCAACTCTGATGGTGAGGCTACACTCTAGTTCTCTGCGGACCGTTGGGCGTGTCAGCCAGTATGAGTGTGTCACCCTATCAGAGCCGTTCTCCGCCTTCTTGTTGAAGAACTCATGCGACAAAAAGCGGTAGAAAACGAGTAATGCGATGCCATATTGATACAGTATTGTCACTGCCCTCTTCACTTTGGCACCGCGCCAAACGTAGCCGCACTGACACGCCCCAACCGTGCGCAGCGAACTACAGTATATTTACGAGTACATTTTCTGAGATCTACTGCTTCTGAATAAAGCTGTGCTACGGAACAAATCCAGACAAAAAATGCAAAAGAACACCGCAATTTTGGCCTATACAAGTTTTGGAGAATAAAGTTCCAATAATACGACTCAAAAGGAAGAAAGAGAGAAAGAAAGAAAAAATAAGGTAAGAATAACCAAAAAAGGCTTTTCGTTAGCGATCTAGAACGTGTTAAAAGTAAAATACAAAAATGTAAGCCATTCAGTAAAAGCGAGACGAAGCACGGCTTCAACAATGTGTCGAATTCTAGTATCTTTTTAATTAATGAAATGTTTCTCGCCACTGGTCCAAACTTGAGCGCAGTGTTCATCTGTTTGATGGAGCTAAAGGCTCAATGTTGACTGAAGGTGGTCGTGGCTTCTCGTATGCACGTGTAGGACAAACATAAGCCGTTGCATAACAGACGAGGCCACTGCTGGCTTCAAGAATCGAATCCCCACAAATATTCATGATATCTTTGGCTAAGAGAATGAGAAAGTCTATTCTAAAAACTTCTACCCTATTATCTGGAGTATTAGAAATACAAATGTATAAGCTCGAAGAGGGTCGCTTTCGCCTTCGAATGAAACAAGCGTCTGTTCCTCAAACCTTACTTCTGCAGCGTGTTTGTTTGCTTCTCACTATATTAATAATCTGCATTTGTTGAGAGGTGATGAAAAAAACAAATTCAAGGACTGACACTATGGAAAAAATACAGAAAAAGCGCGTCATCTGCGTGCAAAATGAACCCCTGTGCCCAAAAAAAAAGGGTTAGTCAACTAACTTTCCCAAGGATGCCGCTAAAAGATGTAGTGGAGTAAAACCTGAAAACAAGAATAGAGATGAATGCAACCAACGATGCTCAATTTAGTGGGGTGACACGGTTTCAGAATGATAGCGGAGGTGGGGTACCTGCAAGTAGCTCACTTACCATGGGCGGGTCGGGAGAGAGGGGGTCAAAACCCCGGTTCGCATCGCATTCAGAAGTCATTACGATTTTTAGAGGAGGTAGACTGTGTGCCTCATCAAAAAAAGTGCTCATTAATGGGGATACTTCCCTAACTATCCTTTTTATCCACCCAGGTTTTAAACAAGTCACATTCGCTAGCCTTCAGTTTTATTAGCTTCCGGCATTACGCGTTAAAATACCATTCTCTCGCTCCGAGGTCGGACTATCGTTCGTTTAATTTGTATTGTTTTGTTTGTTTATTCGCGTTGACGTGAACATAGCAACAAATTCAAACAAAAACTGCAACACAAATAAAACATAAACAAGGTAATCCAAACAGAACACAACACATTTGTATAATTCATCTATAATAGCAATTTACAAAAAACTATTCCCCGTCAGGTCTCTACAAAATCTCCCACATGTCGCTTAAAACTTCGATATTTGAAATGTAAGACATTGCTCCGCAAAAGGGAAATTGAACCTTGAGCAAACTCTATTACCGAAAAACTTTGATCTAATAAGTACAAAATGAGGAGTTATTAAAAGTTAGTAGGTATTAAAAGTGAGGAGGTGGTTCGTTTCGCCTCAACTCAGACGAACCACTTTATTCGGTCCATCCCCGAGGCTCATCAGTGAGTGAGGGACGGACCGAATAAGAATGCATGAGTCACAGAGTTAGATAAAAGTAATATATGAGTGGAGGTATGTGACCAGTTCAAGTGAGAGTAGATGTTGACAAGAGTGTTAATCTACCGGTGGGTTGGATGAATACAAACCGGGTAGGTGAGTCCTGGCATATAGAGATGAGAGTCTAATGGAATCGCCTCTTGAGTTAGATGGCAGCACACGGAAAAAGTCATCTGCTTTGATTCTGACTAAGTTTTTCAATAATTTGAATACCATTAGCAAGTCGTTTCTAGTTCTTCTCCATTCCAGTGATTTCAACCCATAAGCCCTATTCCGAAGGGTTCCGTTGGGTATTTCCATGTAGTTTAACCCATCGCATCTAAGCATCAATTTACGCGTGAAGTTATTCTGCACACTTTCAAGAGCGTATATATCCTTTTTCATATGTGGATTGAATACGACTGTCCCAGACTCCATAATTGGCCGTACATATAGCTTGTATGATCTCAATAAGCACGTTAGTATCTCTTGTTCTCAGGGCCTTGAACAGGTTGAAGGTCCTCCGCAATCCCTTAGTTACCAGCAACTTATAGTGTTTGCTAAAGTTT